ACGTACAAATAGTCATGCCCGCGCTTGGTAGTCGGCAACCCTCCTGAAAAATCCATAGATATGCTCTCCCACGACCTAGAAGGAACCGGTAGCGGTAGGTACAATCCCCTCTTTCTGTTAGAAGGCTTTAAAATACAGCATAACTTACACCCTCCAACATACTTGGTCACATCATCTAACATCTTGGGCCAAAACACATGTCGTAGATTGAGAAGCGTCTTTTGAATCCCAAAATGTCCTTGCACACGCGAGGTATGTGCCTCTCTAATCCACTGCAACCTATCATCCTCCTCCGGAATGCATAATGATGTCCCACGATACAACAAGCCATCTTCTCCAAGTGCATACTTCCCCCTTTGACCAGCCTTCGCCTGCTCGAACACACTACCGAAGTCTCTACTGGATGCGTACAGCTGTACATACTCCAAAGGAACCAATGGCTGAATACGCGTCGCCACCAATAAAGCCCTTACCGGCGGACGAGATAACATATCGGCTAACTTGTTTGTCGCCCCCTTCTTGTATCTAATAATGATGTTGAAAGCCATCAAATAAGACATCCACTTCATGTGTCGCGCCTGCTGTAGCTTCGTCTAGGCATGTAAGAACTCCAACGGCTTGTGATCCGAGTGCACAACCACCTCCTTCCCCCAACAAGTACACCCTCCAATGCTTAATCGTCTGATAAAGTGCATAAAACTCCTTGTCATAGGTTGGGTAGTTCGCAATAGCGTTCGTAAACATCTCAGAATGGTATTCCACTGGTTTCCCATCCTGAATCAACACCGCGCCCATCGCATAACTAGACGCGTCGGTCTCCACCTCGAAAGTTCGCTGTAACTTCGGCAAAGCTAACATCGGTGCCTCCGAGATCTTTCTTTTTAGCAACTGAAAAGCCTCCTCATGCGTCCTTCCCTACTCGAACTGAACCTTAGCCTTTGTGAGGCCATGTAACGGTGCCGCATAAGTCGAAAAATATCGAATGAACTTGCGCAAATACTGACAAGCCCCCATGAAGCTTCGCACCTCAGCCACTGTCTTCGGCATCGGTCACTTCGTGATCACCGTCACCTTACCCGGATCTATCCTCCTCTGGCCCTTCCCCACGATGAAGCCGAGATACACCAACTCGTCCTTCCCAAACTCGTACTTTTTTCCGTTGAGCTTCAGCTGTCCGTCCTGCAACACTCTAAACACCTTCTCCATATGAACAAGATGCTCCTCCCAGGTCCTGCTGTACACCAAAATATCATTAATGTACACAATCACAAAATCCTCTATGAAAGGTCGCAACAAATCATTCATGAGCCTTATAAAAGTCGTCGGAGCATTGCATAACCCAAACGGCATCACCAACCACTCGAACAGGTCCTGTTTGGTCTTGAACGCCGTCTTCCAAGTGTCTTTCTCCCGAGTCCTCACCTGATGATAGCCAGACTTCAGATCCAACTTCGTGAAGAACCTCGTTCCCTTCAACTGGTCCATAAGATCATCGATCCGTGGTAGTGGGTAACGATTCTTGATCGTTATCTTGTTGAGCGTCCGGTAATCCACGCACATGCGTCAGCCTTCATCCTTTTTGGACACCAATAACACCGACGACCCGTAAGGTGAACAACTCGACACTATCACTCCCGTCTCTAAGAGCTCCTAAACCTATTTCTTGATCTCCTAGGACTCCTGTACTGATGTGCGGTATAGGCCTATGTTTGGCAAGGAACTCTCGTCGGTCAACATAATCTCATGCTCTACACCTCGCCGTGGTGGTAGTCTCGTGATCTCCAAAAACAAATCCGCATACTTGGTCTTCAAACTATCAAGATCCCCCTCCTGAGGCTTGCTCAAGGTGGACAAGCATATCCTACTCAGCTGCTCTTCATAAGGCCGAATGAACAACAAAACGAACCTCCTGCCCGCATTCACCAACTTCTTAGCCTGAATCACTGTCACCAAACTCGTCTCCTGTGGAAGAGATGCTGAACGAAAAATGAATTGCGTGCCATCCTTGGTGAACGTATACTTTTGGGTCCGCCGATCATATACCGCGTGTCTATCCCACAAGTAAGGATTGCCCAAAATAACTTGGCAAACATCCAACGAAACTACGTCGCATGTGACCTCGTCAATATACGACTTATGGAGTGCAAATCTAAACGTACACTGGTTCACCACACTCAATCCCGTTTCCTTCTGAATCCACCCTAATGGATAGGGTTTCGGATGCTTCACCGTCTTTAATCCTAACTTCTGTACTAATGCTTCAGATATCAGGTTCTTCTAACTCCCTATATCTACAATGCCATCCACCAAGCTGGTCTTGACCTGCAACTTCAAAACAAAGAGCTGCTCCCTCGGGTGGTCTTCTTCTTTCGCGGCCTGTTTTCCCGTCATAAGGTTGAGGCTGTTATTGGGCTCTGTCATTCCGGGAATCTCCTTCGGACTCTGCGCTATCACGTATGCTTTCTTCCCCTTTTTCTTCTGCAACCATTTCGGCTTCAGATGAGGGTACTTCTCCCAGCAACGATCAGCCACGTGCCATGTCTGCTTGCAGTGATTGCATGTCAATCCTGTCTTTCCCGAATCACCCTTCTTTTTCTCTTCCTTATGTTGAGAGCCACTAGACTTGCCTCCCGACTGTTTGGAATCACCTTTCGTTTCATTGCCCTTCTTTTGTTTGCCCTTAATGGCAATTGTCTTCACGCTCGTCTCTGCAATCGTCTCGATCGTGAACAGCTTCATTTCTTTCCAGATATAATCATTCAGACCCGTCATGTATTTCATGAAAATGGAGTAATCATCCGTTGCGATGTTTAGAACCATCGCCTGCTGCTGGAACTCCGTCGTATACTCTTGAACGGTCTGATTGAATCTTTGGCGCAAACCGTACCATTTGTACCAACGCTCTTCGAGGAACCCCACAGGATAGAACTGCTTCCTCAGTAGCTCCTTGAATTTGTTTCACGCCGTCGCCTTCTTTTCCTGTTTGCAATAGGACTTTCACCACGTCAACGCGTGCCCCGAAAGCTTCAACGTCGCGAACACGATCTTCTCCTTGGATGAATATCCGTAGAGAGTGAAGTACATCTCCATACACTCAATCCAATCATCGAGCTTTTCCACATTGACACTCCCATTATAGACAATAATCTCCACTTTGAAATCAATCTTCAAGTTCTGGTAATAATTCTTACCCCCTGTATGTGAAGCAGACTTAACAACCTCGGCCTCTTCTTCCGAATCTGATTCCTCGCGTTCTTCATCGGACTCAATAAGTTTCTTCTTACCCTTCGAAGAAGATCCCTCCTTTTTGTCCCCTCCATTGATGAGACCCACGAGCTGAGTAAGAGTAGTCCCGATCGTCTCTATCTGCTTCTCCATAGCGTCAAGTCTTGCTGAGTTATTTGCTTCAGACATCTTCTCCTTCCTTATCTTCTGGACTTCTTTCAAGGAAATAAGGATCTCGCCAAGCTTCTTGTACTGTGATCGAGTAAGGACCATACACAGGATGTCCCTTCACCGAATCTGATGCTCTGATACCAACTTGATACGAGTTGCCGTGCGAGCACCTTTGATCGCAGAATTATCAAAGGTGGGTTGTGGAGAAATCAATAAGAAACACAAGAATAACTCAAATTTTGAGCGAAGGAAAATACCTTCTCTAGATTATGAGTATGCACTTTACAATCTCTCACAATCTCACTCTAGAATTAGGAAAATACCTTCTCTAGATTATGAGTATGCACTTTACAATCTCTCACAATCTCACTCTAGAATTGAAAAACAAGCTCTCCAAATCTCAATTACAATTCACTTTACAATCTCTCACAATCTCACTCTAGAATTGAAAAACAAGCTCTCCAAATCTCAATTACAATTTAATCTCTCTTGATTAAACTCTCTGATTGTTTTAAACTCTAAAATAATCCCTTATATATGTGTACAAACGAGGGTGATAAAGTTGTAAATAACCAAATCCAACCCAAACAGGAAAACGCGTAAAAAGAGTCCTTAACGAATCTGGAAAACTTCGATGAGTCGACCATGACTGAGATGAGTCGACTCGTCCGAAACTGGACAAAAAACGAAAACCAGCAATGAGTCGACTCATAACTGAGATGAGTCGACTCATGATCTCATATGAGTCGACTCATAACTGATGAGTCGACTGGTCAGGGACGAACTGCGAACTAGGCTTGGTTTCGTGAGTCGACTCATGACAGTCATGAGTCGACTCAACCTGATGAGTCGACTCATGTACATGTATGAGTCGACTCACAGGCTGAAATCTGGATACTTTGACTCTTCGATTCTCTGCCTTGTTCCTCGCTCCAACCTGGTCGACTCACAGGCTGAAATCTGGATACTTTGACTCTTCGATTCTCTGCCTTGTTCCTCGCTCCAACCTGCGTTCCCCTGTACTGTTTGACACATTTATTCTCATGCTTTTATGAGAATCATCTATCCTCAAGCTCTCATGAGGATCGTTAAGTTCCGAAGAGAAGATACACCCGTATCAAAAACATTCAATATTATCATATATTGTAAATTAGTAAAGATTGCATCATTGAAGAATTGCAACTTAAAGAATACGCGATGTATTGCACTAAACACCTTAGCTTTTAGTAATAGAAAGTAGTACACATCATTAGTGCCTCCAGTATATGAAGAATGTTTTACATATTATGTTTGTAAAAAAATTGTCTGCTTATAACTATTAATTCCTTTCAGTCAATCTGTTGCTGAGATTCTTTCTGATTGATTTATACCAATGTTGAAAATAGCCATAATGCATAACGTAACGCTCTACCTCATGTTAAGGGTTATAGAAAAATGCAAAAAAACATAGTGCATAAGGTAGGTTATTTGGTTTATTAATTATTTATATATTTTATAAATACAAACAATTAACAATGACTTTAATAATTAGAATTATCAAAGTATTTTCAAACACAACATGACACTTATCAAATATAGAAATATAGTATCATAATTTCTTAATAAAAGTTATTCACTTATGACTAATAACCATGCCATAAAGCATCATCACATGATGAAATTATCAATTACGTCAAGGTTAAAGCAATTTAACAGTCTTCACGAAATCAAACACGTCCAAGTCTGAAGCTTTGATAAATCCTACAAAATAAAGTCATCATCCTCTAGATCCATATCTCAAAAAGCAACCAAGTCATCCTCGGCTAGAATATAGTTTGCATCCTCGGGATCCACCTCATCTTCAGTGGCGATCCCTTTTCCTTTCTGTGTTGAGGATGCTGTAGAAATAATTTCAATAAAAAACTCATATATTCATTCAAGTAAACATAACTTTGAAAGATAATAAGAAAGTTTACAATAACTGTCAACTCTTTGTTTCTTTGCCATTAGAGCATCTTCCTTATCTTCTTCCACAGTAGCTATACTATTAATTGCAACAACATCAAGATACTCTTATCCTCGCCATCACCATCTAGCCAACTCGGATTGTCTCGAAGACAAGCTTTTCCTCCTCGACTATCCACTCATCATCGAGAGATACCTCATCTAACAAAATCAGCTCCATCTCTCGCATCCTTCTCCGCATGTTTCTTTCTCTTAACTTGATATTGTACATGACATAAACAAGAGTTTAGGAATTGTTGCTCCAAACGAAATCTCTTTTTCAAGTGGACCTTCATGGGAGGATAATTAAATTATAAGCTTTTGAGATAAAAGATATTAAGTTGCATTTTAGAAAAGGAATTTTTCATACACGTGTTCAAAAGTGCTCCCGTTATGCTCCCATTTGGATGTACTAGTAGCAGAGAGAGAACACCAACTGCAAATCGTCTTAGTGTAGGAGTCTTATCGCCAAATCTCTCCCGCCAAGAAGCTATGCATTCAAAAATCGAAAATCAATATAATAAACTAGAAAATTAATGAAACTGTTAAATTAATACTGGACTACGATGAGTAAGAGTCTTTTGAGCCATGGATGTCCCAAATTCTCCTCTTTTTTTCCTTTGTAAGCATCTAGCTCACAATCAGCTATTGCTCTCATCTTCGTTAGGGATCATGTGACTCATGCACATGTGAAGTCCTTTCTTCACCTCTAAATCATTGCTGAATTTGTCCCCATAGAAATATTTCAGATTAAGATGGTAACCGGAGGCATGGATAGGTTGGTGCAACATATTTGTCCATTTAGAATCAATAAGCTTCCAAAGAAGGCATGTATATCCTCTTTTTTCCACTATATGCATTGGCAATCTTCTCTTTCACACCGTCCATCATCTCATACAAAAAAGACATAAGAGGGTCTCACATCGGAATCCACTTCCAGGAGGATATGAACTAGCTGAAGTGTAGTTGTGAAGCAGAAATTGACTTTTCCACAAAATGTTCATGTGTAAAGAACATTCTCCTTTGCCTTCACTCCTTTTGGCTTTTTTGCCTAGCTGCTTCTCCGGAACTTCTCAGAAGAGAACATGTTATTCAAAGGATCTTTTAAAGAATACAACATCTATAGTGTCGACAAGAATGTGGCAAAGCGAGTAATGATTAGCTCCTTCCCACCCGTCTACTTTCTCATCAAGCTCAAAACCCATCAATGGTTGCAGATAAATTGTATTATTCCCTTTGCATCATCAAGAGTCTCCTGGTAAATCTTCATTTTCCCGATGTCCTCCAACATAAGGTAAATGCAATGTGCCTCATACGGTGACCAATAAAGTAACTTTTTTTTCCATAAGAGGAATGATTATATGTGACTTCTTTTTCCCCCCTATAAAGTGACTTCTTTTTATTCTAGCAAGCACATAAGAGGAATGATTATATGTGATGACTTGGAGAGCATTACTCTCCCTAATCTCCTCCACCATATGATCAAGGCACTGAAAAAGATACTCCTCATCCTTAATAACCTTTGATGCATCAATGGACTTGTAGAAAAAAGTCCTAGCCCGTGAGTTCACTAGGAAGTTAATCAAACTTCTACTCTTTTTGTCCGACCATCCATCGGACATAAGAGTGCACCCATATTTTTCTCAAGCCTTCTTTTGTTTGTTTTTACGACATCTATATTCTCCATCTCATTTTTTAGCACCAAAGTCCTAATCTCATACAGAGTAGGAAGCTTCAACCCAAACCCGAACTTCCCAATTGACTCGGCCATGTCTCTCCAATGCGGGTTGTTCAAGATGTTGAATGACAACTCGTTAGCAAATGTGTATCGGTCGATCTTCTGTACCACTGCATCCCTTTCTTCTTTTTTTGGTTCTGCTCTCTATTGTTGTTTGACAGCCTTGGATATTAAAAAAATTGGTCTAATGGACCAAATGTTCTGGACTGTTAGACCTGGCTGCTGCTATCATGTCCGCTTTGTGCCTCTAAGCTATCAATCTCCTATTGGGTTGAATCTTCTTCCGTCCTTGCAATTGATTGAATCAATGCCGCCTTTCTTTCTCTTCCATATAACGGTCCTTTGAAAGGTTCCATACATTGCTTTTTACTGCTTTTGGAACTTTGTTACATTTCCTCTTTCGTATAACTGGCTAAGTGATGTTTCAGCTATGTTACACCTGCCGTGATATGGTGATCGCAATACTTGCAATACATATTTTGATAGTATTCCCCCTCTTTGAAAATACCATGCTCTCTCATGAGATCCAAACTCTTGGACATTGTTCAATATCCTATATTACTGCACATATTCAAAAACAAATCCACAAAACAAATTATCAAATTACAAATAGATAACATCAATTCATAACAATCACAACCAAATTGAAACAACCATCCTACTGGTTCGTTTCTAATCAGACGTCAAACAATCATTTATTATGTTTAATAAAACAAAATTACCAAAGAAAAACACCATTTAATTCCTACTGTTTCATCTTTATTCATAGTTTGTGATACATCAAAGTCAAACAATAAGTTTATAAACCAAGTTACTAAAGCAAACTATCAAATTATCAATTTATAAACTAAATACTCCAATTTTGCCTAATGTTACTAACTTACTATAATTTAAACTAAAATTTATAGCAATTCATTGTAATTAGCTGTGATTATATTCAATGAAAAATCATTAAAAATTTAGAAAAGTTGTTACCTCTATCAATTCTCAATGGGGAGATGATGGAGATAAAGTCGGAGATGGATGAGATTGAGGAGCCTTTATTTTTTTTGTCGATAAGAATTAGGGGAGGAGGAGAGTTCGTCATTGGAGGTGGAGGAGGGGGAGAAAAGGAGGCGGCGAAGAACTGGAGATGGGGTACCGTGCGGCGCTGAAGGTGGAGAAGAGGAGTCGCTGGAGAGTCGCTGATGGTGGAGGAGTGGGAGGACTTTGTTGGGGAATCGCTGATAGTGGAGGAGGGGGAGGAGTTGAAGGAGTTCGTCGTTGGAGCGAAGGAGGCGGAACTAGGATTTTTTTGAGTTTGAGGAGACGGAAGAAAAAGAAGTGGGGGACTGATTCTGAGAAGTGAACCGATTGGGGTTTCTTTTGGAAAAATGGATGGTAGATATTAATCCACACGGCCAAATCTTCAAACAATATAACTTAGGTTATATTAAGTTATATATGTTATGATTTTATTTCTAGGCCCAAAAGTTTACTCTACTTTATCTTTAAACTCAACTCTTTTTGCTTGTATTCTTAAACCCAATTAGTTTTTTGTATTTATCTCTAGAGTCAACTTTCAAGATACAATACATACATGTATGTCCCCCTAAATTAAAAAAAAAAAAAATCCAATTCTACCCTTTCTCAACCTCCCTCTATTCCTGTGTTGTATCATATATGGGCTCCTTATTTAATTTTAAAAAACCAAATTAAATGTGAAATGATGAGAGAGAGAGAGAAATGTGGGCCTGTTCCAGCGTTCTTCTCCCCCGTTTCTCTCTCTCTCTGTTCATTTCTCAATTAATTTCCCTCTCCCTCTCTTCATTTCTCAATTAATTCCCCTCACCCATTATTCTTTATTTCATTCTTCCACTCTTATAAATCCATCAACTAATTCTCAATCACTCTTATAAATCCATCAATTAATTCTCAACCACTATTATAAATTATTTTCTTAGCAATTTAAGGTATAATTTTACATTTTACTCAACTACTTAGTTTATAGCATTAATTTCTCATTTTATGCATGAAAATTATTTCACATAATTATTCATAAATTCATAAAAATTATTTCCCATTTTATGTGTTTTGTATGATTGTTTATTTATGTGTTTGGTATGACTGTGCACTTGTATATTACCACGTTATATTTTCATGTTATCACGCTATACTTTCAGATTATCCCACTATACCTTCATATTATCTCGTTATGCTTTCAAAATAACTCGCTATACTTTCATATTATCCCGCTATACTTTTAGAATACCCCGCTATACTTTCATGTTATCACGCTGTACTTTCATATTATTCCGCTATACTTTTAGAATATCCCGCTGTACTTCATGTTATCATGCTGTACTTTCATATTATCACGTTATACTTTCATATTATCACGTTATACTTTCAGAATATCCCGCTATTCTCTTATATTATCCCTCTATACTTTCATATTATCATGCTATACTTTCAGAATATCCCGTTATTCTTTTATATTATCCCTCTATACTTTCATATTATCACGTTATACTTTCAGAATATCCATCTATACTTTCAGAATATCTCACTATACTTTCATATTATCACGCTATACTTTCAGAATATCCCGCTATACTTTTATATTATTCCGCTATACTTTCATATTATCACACTTTACTTTCAGAATATCTCGCTATGCTTGCATATTATCTCACTATACTTTCAGAATGTCCCGCTATACTTTCAGAATATCCCGTTATACTTTCAGATTATCCCGCTATACTTTCAGAATATCCCGCTATACTTTCATATTATCCCGCTATACTTTCATATTATCCCGTTATACTTTCAGAATATCCCGCTATACTTTCATATTATCCCGCTATATTTTAAGAATATCCCGCTATACTTTTAGAATATCCCGCTATACTTTCATATATTTTTCACTTGTTTTCTATACTAATTATAAGTCAATTTCCATAAATTCAACTGGATCTGCGCAAAGGAAACCAAAAATAAAACATAAAATTACCTGAATACATCAACACATACCAAATTCACTTAAAATACCAAAAGCATAGACACAGCACAACTTTCAGTATTTACATTCATCCAATAAACATTAACCATACATTAACGATATGCACAGAAGCATAGCTCTGCTCATGATAAAAGAACACAAAAACATAGTTTCACTTCTAACAAATGCAACAACTAGAGGTGAACCATCATACATTAAGCAAAGAGCATGCTCAAAAATCAACAACAAAAGGCCATACATGAAACTGAGCATGTACAAATGATAATATCATAACTGTATTCCCTTCTTTTTGGATCTTTGATAAGCAAAAACTTGGCTCAATTGATCCACCCTGACTAGTCGATAAGAATACCAATGTTGTCCATTCTCTCTTTGCAGTCTAAATCTGAGCATTCTACAGATGAATAGAGTTATCATCAAAACATTATAGTGAGAAAACACTTGAATATAACGTGATGATATTTTAAGTATTGTAATGCAAAAAACCAATTTTGTTTACTTGTTGACTGGAAGTGGCAGTGGACAGTACCAAAGAGAAGCAAAATAACATCATTTGATAACCACTTTTGAACTGTTTCCTATGCTACCACAAGTCCAATTACCAGTATACTAATACTTCAGATTTGGGAAAAATTTAACACAATAATGCTTAGCTTAACTTTTCCTGAAAAAGTAACAACTATATAAGATCTCTAAAGAGGGGGAAAATGTATTAAGGATTTTAGACTACGGTTTGTGTGGCTAGATTGAGCAGACTCTACTTTATAAAAACTGCTTTCCACCATCGTGCATGTCGTCCAAAACACGAGCAATGGCTAAAAGGTCTCATAAGTATGCCATAATCTACATCATCCTCTTATTTTGAACGACAAGTATTTTCTACCCACCACCTTGTGTTGTTTTATCACGTCTTTGAAGAATTTAGCGATATGCTTGAACCTTGAACAAAACCTATTACCCCTCAAATTAAGGCCAATGTACTGCTTCATGTGGTCTTTTGCTCAATCGAAGATTGTCAAGCAGCTTAATAGAGCTATACTGATTCCGCCAAAGATAACCACTTCATACACTCTTGGTTTGAGATTACAAGAGCACTAGATATACCTTATTGCCTTATTCTAAAACTTTAGATGCATTGCTTCAGGAAAATAAACGAATAAATAAACAACCAGAGTCTTATGAGTACGGTATTAAAAAATCGTCAAATTGATTAACAATTACTTGGAGAATGGCATCCAGATGAGGACTAGCCACAATTTCTGCAGAGATCACAACCATGAAAGTGCTCTCTCTGTGACCTCTAATATAAGGCCAAGCCTCTCGAAACCAGCCAACGAACTGCTCATTCTCTCTCCCACGACACTCAACAGCAGATCCGGATCCAGATCCAGATCCATTGACCAAGTCCGAATCTAATCTACATCGAACCGATAGATCCCTTAGATCAATCGATTGAAGAGGAAGCTTGAGCGAGCGCTGAGGCTTGATCGAGAAGAGATTTTGGCGATCGGTGGAAAAATTGAGGGCGTTGAGATTTAGGTAGCCATGGGAGCAGGAGTAAAACCCTGGAAGGAGAGACGGTGGCGGAGAGAAATTAAAATAGGAGAATGAACGCAGAGTAGAGGAGAACGGAGAGGAGATTGTGGAGATTGAGGGCGGGGTATTTTGGGGTTTTTACCCCAAAAATGTATAAATACAAGATACCATATCTCTAAGTTATACTATTTGGGTTTAGAGATAAATACATAAAGTTATTGGGTTCAATGATATAAAAAAAGTTATTGGGTTTATAGATAAATGAGGGTAAACAATTGGACCTAGAAACAAAAACCCCTTTAAAAAAACTCACTGTTAAACACTACCCTGCGTTCTAAAACACGTTATAAAACACGTTATAACGCTTTTTTTCCCCTACAGTGATTCATACAGATGCTGTTTGGAGATCACATTTGAATTTCCTTAAAGAAGCTATGTTAACTACAGAAGTTAAAGTTCTTATCAGTCAAACGTCTATTCAATACTGACAGAGGCTTGGCTTAAATGGTCTGATGAAATAAAGGTTTTTACATTCTCAGACTAGCTGCTTGAGTTGAGGTTTTTTACATGTTAGAATCTCTTCACTTGTTCTGCTTCTGTCAATTTTAGGATCACCCTTGGCTTGAAGGTGTCCAATGGGACAAATTATATCAAATGGAGTCTGCATTTATACCTGCAGTGAAAGATGAATTGGATACTCAAGACTTGTAAAGTTTGAGGAGGTAAAAAACGTCAATAAGTTGGTTTACATTCTAGTGGAATAAAAGATTCACCATTCACTTTTCTTAATAGAGCTTTATATATTTGAGTTTTGCAGTCTGATAATCATGTTCAAACTCTGTCGACATAAGGTAATACATCAGTTTCATTGAACTTGGCGTATTTCTTCTTCCTGCTCTCAAAATAACTTTACACTGTTTCCTAGTTCTTTTATATTTATTCATGTTTCAAACCAATTAACTTTTAGATTCTTGGGGGGAGACATAGTAGCCCCTATGCAAGCCTAACCTACTTGTCTATCTTAAATATTTTATGCATTTGAACAAGATGTTAGAACACTGCATAGATCTCTCCATCTTGCTAATAAATTTGTAGCCATCATACAATAAAGCAGTGCTTATTGTTTGAGTCGAAGCTTAACATGATCATTAAGTGATGATTGTCCTGTTTCAATTTAACTTTCGTCTAAGGGGGAAGTTTCCTTTGAAATATGACGACTGTGCCTTCAACTTGTGATTACACCTATAAGTCCACAACTAGCAGGGCTTGCTACAATTATTTAGTTCCTCTTTCATGTTGATTGCAAGCAAATGTTAAATTCACTAAATATTCACTCTGGTTATGTTTTGGCTGATTTTTCTATTGATTGTCCACTTTAGAGATTTGTGATAATCCACTCCACTGGTTTAAAAGCCTCCCTTATTCTTAATTTCCCCTTGGTTTTAAACTTGTGTCTTCTGCTGAATCGACTAGGTCAACGATTTAAATCACCCAAATGGTACTCGTGGCCAAATTCCTTTTTTTTGCTGATAATATATCTAATATGTTGTGTCTAAAGTATTCAAACGATCAATTGCTTTATCATCTTGTCTGTCCTTTGCTGGGGTAATATATGTTTTTACTACATGTTTACCATTCATTATGAATCCATATTTATTGGGGTTTCCCTTGTCGTAGCCTGCTTAATAAACCCTAAAACCATTTACTATCTCTTATCTCCTTCGCCTTTCGATCATTATAGCTCATAAGAACCTTCCCTTTTGGTGTATGTTTACCTATTTCTCTACTAGAATCAACGTATCAATTACACTTGTGAAGTAGTATAATTAGATAAGCATATGCACAAATCATGAATATAATTTTACCATTATCTGGATCTTTAGATAGGTGTGGTATGTGGAGGAACTTCTGGATTTCTCAAAACAGAGGACCTTTACAAAACTGAATGAAAGATAAGGATTTGTGTACCTGACTTCAAAATTCGGGGTAAAGGCTTTGTTGTTTTTTTATTCTTTTAACTGAACAGTTATTGACATTGTTTTGAACTAGTCAAATACATGTAGTCTTAGGATATACTGGCCAGTATCTTTTGAAACAAAATTGAGAAACAAGTTCTCGATCAATATTATTTCTATGTGATGATTAATATGTGGATATTTCGTTTCTCATGCTACTTCCTTTTTAACAAGGTTCAGATGAGATTATGGTATTATGAAACCCTTGAAACTATATTTGCCTTTTAATCGTCATTGCTTTTCCTAACATTTTTGGCCGTTACCTTGGCAAGTTCCTAATGAAGTGTCTTCTCTTTTGCTTCTCCAGATGTTTTCCTCGAGGATCGAATTTTTGTGGTCTATACATGTAAGAACTTCAAAAATGTTATTGATCCTGAAGTGCCTTTTTTGGTAAATATTACTTGTTAAGGATCCTGAAGTGCCTGCGATGGTAAATATTCTGTCGATAAGAACCTCACTTTGTTGTGTTGATATATACTCGCTGCCTTCCTTTTAGATGTGTTTCTAATTCCATACTGCAGTCAAATCAAGGTTTCATACTCAAATTAACTATAAACGTTTGTCAGTGTCCTTATTGCCGATCCTTTATTTACAAGCCGAGTTATAAAGGAAAGATGACAGACTACAAGACAATCCAAATAGATTCAAGTCTCGCTTTGATCTAGCAAACTTTAAAATTTGCCAGATGAATTGATGAGCTTGTCAAATCATAAAACTGGACCAGGTTCAAACTTGGTCCTGAACTTGGTCCAGTTTTAGTATGGCTTTGTGTAAGGGAAAAGTAGGGTCAGAGCTGGCTTAACTTATTCTACTTTATTTTCAGCCTCTTAAGCAGGGTAGAATTGAACCGCCTTCTACCTGGTTCAATTCTGGTTAAAAAAAATAAACTGAACGGGTCTGATTCCTATGAGAAACAGGCCTTAGATTCAAATCTATTGTCTTTGTGTTTTACATCAAGCTTGACTCTTACTGTGTCATGTTACTCTGTTACTGAGTATAATATTATCATTGGTATGCATCCAGGATACAGACATGAATGTCAAATGCGCACGAAGTTTATCTGTCTAGTCTCCAGATGCTAGATTAATTGAGCGAAACTTCTAGAGACACAAAGGTCCTTATGGAAACCTGTAGTTTGATCACCAATCCTGTTGCATATTCGAGCTATTCCCCAGGTTTCATGAATGGTGATGCGTCACGATCCATGCAAACCACTTGGTATAGCTTAGGAGCAATCTGGCGTGTATCTTAATGTAGCTGAGGGCCCAGTTTTGGAGCATCATGGGTACTTGAGTCATCAAGATCTATGTAAACCACTTTCTTGTGATGGAAAGTAAACTATTAGAACCTTTACCATGCCAGTATTTTTTTTAATGGGTTAGTTGCAACCAGGTCCCTCTAGTATCTTTGTTTTGAACTTACTAGCCATCTAATCTTATTTTTGCAGATAGACTCCCCGAATCAGTTTTTTTTAACTCTTTCACCCTCAGATAATACATTTTCTTGACAAATAAACCCTCTGAGATTTCAGAAAATAGGTTTTCTAAGCACACCTTGATCCGCGATGCAATATTGACATGTTGACCTCGCTCTTTAATAGCCGAAGATGTTTCGTTTACTTCAGCACATCCTACTGCATCATAATGGGGAGAATCCGTAGTATCGTTGCTCCGCTCTTTACTTAGCACCATTTTGAAGTACCTCTTTCCTCAAGCTATCCCAATCATAGTTCTCTTTCTCGATATTGACTTTAGCCTTATTGCTTTTTGATATATCGTTCAAGATTTCATCTGTAGTGACTTCATCTCTATCATTGATTTGCTCAGTTTCACTGGTCTCGAAAAGTCTATTTCTCACTTTCGCATTAGTAGTCTCATTGTCTCTTTTCAGCTTGAGAGGAAATCGTGCAGCGAGGAGGCTCATATATGCTGAGCTGTCAAGATCAAACCAGAAACCATAAGCTGATTAAAAGTGAAAATGGGTAGTATTGATGGTTCCCATTCAATATGGAGAGAACAACAAATAGCAGGCATTCCTACATATCCTAAATCATTTTAAAATGATCTAAGAAACAAATTTTACCTTACCTTGAAAGATGGAAAACAATATGAGTATAGTAGAAATCCTATGACCATTGCATTGATAGAATAGTCACAATTCCCAAACTAACCTTCTAACCACCCGTGAACCTGTAAATGATATAGAAAATCTCATTCTATGAGGTGTTCTCATAGAATATTCACTCTTTTGAGTTAGAAGACACCCATTATTGAATCCAGAACTGACCCATTCCATCTAGAGAATCTTCTATCACCTGATATAAAATTTTAAAGCTAAAAACATGCTCAACAGAACTATTTACAAGTTATAATACACAAAAAATATAATATCCGTACAGATATGTTAATTTGTTCCAGTTAAATTATCTCTATGCATTATAAAAGTTGTATGGTCTATGCACTGCATTGAAGATTTTGTTTAAAATGTCAGCATGCCACTTCTTAAGCTCTTCATGTCAATTCACTTGTTTACTTCAGATTATCAATTGGTAGCATAACAGTAATTTCCACAAGAAAAATCATAATAATGCTGCTAGAAAAATTAAAAAAATATATTCCTATAAGATTTTGTTTCAGTTAATAATTTGGATGAACATGCGGAGAAATGTAAGCATAAGCATAAAGATATATTTGAAAAAAAAAATCTAACATAAAAATTAGACAAATAAATATATTACCGAGGGCGACATGCATGCAACCCGTCATCAATGAGTGTTACTATCTAAAATTTCCAAACCCTAATTGATTCGGGATATTTATGCCCGAAGAGTCAACATTCATAGGGTTTTTTTTCCCGAATAATTTTTCAATCCACTGGAATTAGATGCCTGCTTCTTCATCTTATATATTTCTTCTTCTTCTTTTTCTTCTTCGGCTTCTTCGATCTTGGAGTCGTCATCTTGATTTTCTATTTTTGTTCTAAATTTCCCATGATTTTAATCATGGGTTTAGCATTCCATCGACTTGTAACCTAATTGAAGCTGGAATTCATGGAAGTTTAGAACTTTAGATATGGTAAAGGTCTGGATTTCTGAGCATGAGACTTACAAGTTTTATGAGGTTTTTGAGAAGTTATAAAGGTTTAAAATATGTCCTTTTTTAATCTTGGAAACTAATTAATAACTTATCTATAGACAAGCGTAGCTCGAATTCTCCATGATCTGACACGTAACTTATACACTTGACAGCGGTTTTTCATCTTTAAAACTCTTTTACTAACTTTAATTAATTAATTTGTAGGATGAGAATATCAACCTATGCTATACATTTTTTTCTTCATAGAAGCCACGTTTAAACCAAAGTGTTATTTTACATGAGTCACTTTTGATAGTCAATCTATATATAAATCATTTTAAACGGTTTTTTGTTGCGATCAATTACCTAGACTTGTTGGATTTAATCTAATAAATCTATTTGTGGGCACATATGATTAAATAAATGTGTATTGCTATCTTTCAGGATAACCCACTAAAGTGATCAATTAAGTTGGGTTAATTTGGTATTTAAATAAGTCATGGAGTTATATGTGCAGATACCAGGTTGTAATTGTGATTTATTGAGGGGCTAAATTACAAAAGTACAACATCTATAAATAAGGGGTTATGGTCCCTAACCTAGGGTTACATTCTCTAATTCTCTACACCCCCATCTAGCTAGAGAAATTCGGATTTAGAGAAACCCTAAGGTTAGAAGATCCAAAACTCATCTCAAGGTTCATCCATGGATTCAGGTATAAGCTTCCGCTCATTTATGATTCTTGTTAATCTCTTTGTTCATCCATGGATTCAGGTATAAGCTTCCGCTCATTTATGATTCTTGTTAATCTCTTTGAATTAATCATGACTATATGGTTTTAGATCTCAAGTTTTTTATTTAGATCTAACAAGTGGTATCAGAGCCACATTGATTAATTCTTAGGGATTTAAGTTTTATTGGGTTTTTTGATCTTAAATCTCTGGTTAAAGATTCAATTTTTTGTTCGGATGAACAGTAACGAACAGTTTCGGATGAACAGTAAAGTTTTTTCCCGGATGAACATTAAATTTTTTGGAATTTTTTGGGTTTTTCTTCGATTTTTTCTTGGTCTGGATCTGATTTTGAAAAATAAAATCGAGGAATTTTTTTGGGTTTGTCGGCGGCGGTTTCGGTTTGAAACCCTAAGGGTTCGTGCGTGAAACGTGGCGAACATTAAGGAGGTGGTTACCTCAAATTTTGGCGAAGCTGAAAGCTTCAAACGAACCTCGCGTTCGTTCATTTTTAACCGAACTTCGCGTTCAAACGAACTTCGCGTTCGTTATCAAGTGAGCCTCGCGCTCAACGAACTTCGCGTTCGTTCTAAGGTGAGCCTCGCGCTCAATTCAGGTGAGCGTTAAGCTCAATTTAAACGATCTTCGCGTTCGTTCTCATGTGAGCCTCGTGCTCAACTCAGGTGAGCGTCAAGCTCAATTTTAACGAACCTCGCGTTCGTTCTAAGGTGAACCTCGCGTTCAACTCAGGTGAGCGTCAAGCTCAATTTTAACGAACCTCGCGTTCGTTCTAAGATGAGCCTCGCGCTCAGTTCTAAGGTGAGCCTCGCGCTCAGTTTTCAGTCGAACCTCGCGTTCGTATTTAAGTTGAACCTCACGTTCATGCTTCAGTCGAACCTCGCGTTCGAGTTTCAGTCGAACCTCGCGTTCGAGCTTCAGTCGAACCTCGCGTTCGTGCTTCAGGCGAACCTCGCGTTCGTGCTTCAGTCGAACCTCGCGTTCGAACTTCAGACGAACCTCGCGTTCGTACTTCAGACGAACCTCGCGTTCGTACTTCAGACGAACCTCGCGTTCGTACTTCAGACGAACCTCGCGTTCGTACTTCAGACGAACCTCGCGTTCGTACTTCAGACGAACCTCGCGTTCGTACTTCAGACGATCCTTTTTTAACGAACCTCACGTTCGTTCTCAAGTTGAACATCGCGTTCAAACGAACCTCATGTTCGTTCTCAAACGAACCTCGCGTTCGTGCTTAAGTGAGTCTCGTACTCAATACAGTCGAACCTCGCGTTCGAAGATAAGCGAACTTCGTGTTCATTATGGTTAAGCCTCAGCTTTTCATGGGTCCACTTTGGTATACTTAATTTATTCAATTAAGTTATGGGCCCTAATTAAGCTGTGAGACCCCAATTAAGTTTTTGGAAATTCAGTTGATTTAAATTAAAATTTTTTTTAATTTAAATCTAATTCGGTTTTTAATCAATTATTTAATTCAAATATTATGACACTAAGGTATTAAGGTTGTCTCTCACTCCAATTGATTAATTGAAACAAGAAGTTGCCAAAGTAACCTCTCTTGTGTAGATTGTTCATGAGGAATGTGAGATGTTTGTGTGTATGCTTTCGTGTAAATATTTAATCGGCCCAAAGGAAGGTTAATATTTATTTAGACTGTATACACATCTGCGAT